CCACACAGTCTTCTGTACATGAGAGGGGCGGCTCTGCACTTCATCCAAAATCTGTTCAACAGGTATGAGAAGATAGAAGTTCTGAGTTAGAGAATCTTGATTCCCAGAGTCAAGTGCTTCACTGTCAGAGAACGTGAGGGGGGAAATTAACATAGTTATCTGCAATTGAAATTTGTTGCTAGACAGTCTGAAGTAAAGTAGTAGTAGACTGTCCCTGCCCCCCAAAGATCATACTTGAAATAGACAAGAGAAAAGCTCAAGGAAAGGAAGATAACATAAAAGTAGAGAGAACAGAGTGGTGGCTTGCAAATATGGTATGTTTCATTTTAAAGATGGGTGACGAGGGATTAATTCAGTGGGGAAAGCTTGATGTGGAGACATCTCAATGGAGTAAGAAGGGAAAGGAGAAGAGATTAAATATGGGAGTGGAGCACCGCTGAGGTGAAGATACTAAGAGAGAAAGCACTAGGGGAGTGGAGCAAACCATCAGCATGGGGAGGAGACTGTCCAGAGTGTAAACTGTAGAATGCAGTCTGGCAGCCTCCATGTCTAAAAATGTCTGCTGGGGTTGCTTCAGTGTCTCTTCCTCTTGGCTTGAGTTTCTCTGGCTTCTGCCTAGAATTTTTTCCCCAGTGGTGCTGTGTGAATCCCAAAGGGGAGCAGAGGTTTTGCATCTGGCTTTCGCTGGGAGAGAAGGGGTGTCCAAGACCATCCCCCATTTTTATCTCCCCTTCTTGCCATTCATATGTGTACACCTTCATTTATTCTGAAATACATTTTTCACTGGAGATAGACAGCAAGTTGCGGTGCAGTGCTTGTTAGGTGACCTGAAATGCAGTTCCCTTGCCCCCAATCTTGGCATCCAAACTTACATTTCTTGTTTGAAATAAAGACACGAGTCAGACTTCAAGAGTGGGGATCAGAATAAATGAACTGGGCCAGCATAAATAAACATTTAAGGCAATTAACGTTTCTTCAGTTGTGGATCCCAGAATCTAATAACTTCTGAGGTTCTGGAGAGAATTTCTGACTGGTAGAAATTTTTCCTGTTTTGCATCTGTGTACCCTCTATGGCCAGCTGCTAAGGTAGCTGGTAGAATAGCTCCCCCTCTCTCGTTCTTGCTACAGAAGTGGGAATTCAGGGATTCTCAAACATGACTTCCCAGTCATTTTAATTTCACAAATAGGAGTCACATCTGTCATGTGAACAGTGCTCCATTCAAAATGCCCAAAAAGCAGAAAAAACGAGATCACCAAT